TTGAGAGGCATGCAGATTCATGCTTGTACTAATGATTCACCGAAATGAAAACAATAACTCTCCTTTGCACTGGCAACTGCTCATGTTAATAAATTCTGAACTGCGCTTAATTTTATACTGCGTGCCCCAATTTTCCTCCCATCATTACCACATTTTTTGAATATTACATTTCAGTCACTGCTATCAGCAGACTGGTTCGGAAATCCAGTGTTTTATATTATAGTGTATCAGTATACAGCAATGCGAGAGAGCACTGCAGCGAAGTATAAAGTTATACATTTTTGACCTTTTTCGAGCCATAAACATCAAAGGCTGTAACAAGCACTTTTCTTGGGAAACAGTACTTCAAATGATCATGCTGTAGTACGAAGATCATATTTCAGAATCGAAGGAATCTGAAACTTTCGAACTGCAGTAGTGAAATACCATGCCAGAGTACAATACCTGATTATACGGTGTTATACTCGTCACGGCGATAGCCTTCGAAGGGGCTTTTTCTTCATTTATAGGCTGTTTATAATTTGCCAAACGTTTCCGTTTGCACAATCAGCAAGAATCATAAGGCACAAACGGATGACAAAATAATTGCTATACTCTATAGCATCAGACTATGTAAAAAAGCGTTGCACCACTGTGGAATAATGGTCGATTACAAGTCGTACAGTACTGTAGTACATTATAGTACTCTTGAGTACCAAAAAGCAATACATTATATATTCCATCAAACCGTACCATTACACAGCAGCATTGCATTACAACAAATCAACACCACTAAGCCTATGTGTCCAATGTTTTGTTTCTTTTAAACTATCATTTAATTAACTGCCGTACTTCGTATGGCGAGAAAAACAGCAGTTTCGCTCCGATTACATTCCGTGCAGCTTTCTGGACCCAGTTGTTATGCAAGGAAAGGCGTGGGCTATTCAGACTTTCGCAGCGTGTGAAAAACATAGGCTTTCGTCACATATGCAAACGCAAATGCTATATATCTCATCTACAGCTATTAGAGTTCTGATCGTTTCGCCACATCGGCACGAAATCGCATGACTATCGACTAATGCCCTGTGCTGCTCGTTTGAAAGTCATAATCATTTCGAACCTCGTACTTGTAACCATTAATGGCGCAACCTATAGCTCATTAACATTACAGAGACGTCATTCATTAGGCCATCAACATTTGTACGCTCAGAGTCTGAAAAAGCAATGAACGAGGGTCAATCGTTGATATCAAAGTCTCAGATGTATCCCTCCACATATTTACTGAAAAATCCATGCATTCAACGCACTCGAATCTTCCTTTTCACCGTCGTGAAAATTTTCTTACCACAAAACAACTTCTGCCGAAATTTAAACGATTTGTAACCAGCCAGAATGTCAAAAACGGCCGCTAGTTACAACAATCAGACCTGAGCCATTAAACAACTAGAAAAGTGAGTATCGCGGTAGGTAAAGGAAATCAGGCAGTCGCTAACCGACAGATGAAGAACTGAAATGACAGAAATATTTCAAAAGCATAAGATGTCAAAGAGATCAAATGACCATTGGCTGAAGTTTGCATCCAGGCTGCAAGAGGGCAGGACTGGGATATGTGCGCGCTGAGTTGAACGGCTCGTTTTGAGGAATACTTAAAACGCAACGAGTGGACGAAATACTTTAAGCATAATCCGCTGCTTAGGTGGAATAACTATGGACAACTGAAACCAGAATGTCTGCAAAAAATGACTGAGAGCATGCTGAACTGAAGGTCACATTTGTTACGTAAAATACCTCGTAGCATCGTCAGAGCAATATCTCAGACCACAGGCCGCGAGGAACATTTGTGACAGTGACTGATTACAGGATCGGGAAGATTTTCAAGTACGGTTCACTTGTTTTTACGAATGGACCGAAATGACTAGAATGTTGTGGTTTAACAGTCACCCGAAAGTGTAGTAAAAAATATGTCGCCGAAGAAGGGGAACAAGAATGGTGCGATTTTCGATTCAGGACTTCACTGCTTGTCTTTCTGGAGAAACTGCGGCAGGTGGGTGGGTCATCGCTTCTAACAAATCAGTGGAAAAAGGATTCAGACGCTGAACTGAACGTTACACCTTTCGTAGCCCCTAAGTTTATGACTAACGTTTACAAAGAGTCGAATAAGCTCTACAAAATCCGAGTATATGAGGACCATTCATTGAAGCACACCGTACTTAAATCCATCTCGATCCTGTATTCCATTAGAAGTGCACATCATTCTTCTCAAGCGATGGATTTCAGACATGTCGGTGATGATTCTCCAGGTGTGCAGCACCGGATTTCACCTTCCGTATAAGAAACGAAGAGCTGAATGTCAGATCGATCGTATTCGCTCGCTCCAGGTGACTAACATCTGTCAGCTGTTTCAACGTATCCGTGTTTGTCTCCAGTCTCGGATGGTAGACCAGATTCCACCTAACGCAACAAATCGTTTTGGTTCAACTCAACTTTCTGTCACCTACAGTTCTCCCGATTTGAAACAATGAGGAACCACAATATGAGAGAACAACAGATGCGATAAGCCGGCAGTGCAGAAAACAAACGGTAAACGAACGAGGTACAAGGAAGAAGTAAAGTCCGCATGAAAGCTTTCGGCCATGTTCACTTCCTAGTTCTATTCTCTTGGACTGCAAATTTCGTTATGCTTCTTTCGACGTAGTGGCTGCTCAGTGATTTGATGACTGTGACACTGACGATACAGTTACCATATCAGAAGAAAGACAAAGGTAGTAAATGAATGAGATCGATTGTGGTGTTCAATTCAAATAACGTCTTACTCTGTTCAGAGGGCAAACACGACTATGCTTAATTTAGCAGTGTGTGAATTCCGCTCACTTCAGAGGTGATGCGGTACCATGACATCAGTGAACAAAGTGAGCCAAAAAAAAATCATCACGTCAGGAAAATAACAACCAGCAGAAGGTAAAAAGCTTGATAAAGAAGTAGTGACATTGATCCGTTCTCAGCTGATACCCTGTTCGTTATCGTTCTTCTAACATATCGCGACTATTCATTCATCATCTTTCATGAGTGTTGTTATATTCAATGAAGAGAAGATGTGCATATGTTTAGAGAAGGAAGCGAGTAAAGGTGGCGTTCATTTAAAATAGCTGCATTCTTTGTTCAGATGATAGACAAGATTGTATGTCACGCAAAATCAGTTTCTGGTTTTTCCTTGTTGACGTAATGACGCACTAAGACATGAGGATGTGTGTCGCATCAAACGAAAGCAATATATAATCTGACCACAAAACAACAGCCATTTGAGAACAGAAAGACTCTTGACGAAAAGGTTCTTTCTCGTACGAAAGCCATTAGCGGCATCACGATAATACGAAGCATGAATATTGCTTGCTCACCAGAATCCGTCCAGTGGTACTCTGGCCAGAGATGAGTTCACCGGCCCAGTCCTTGGCTTCAGTCATCCAACCAATCTTGCTGGTGGAGCTCTTCATATCGGGATCCGGATCGGCGTCCGAATCCGGCTCTACTATGTCCTCAAGAGCGTCCGGATCGTTCAGGCAAGTCAGTTCGTCAACCAGTAAGCCATCGCGCAGGTGATGGCTGGAGTCAGCTGAAGGGAAGCACGAACATGTGACGATGCGGAAGCTGACAACGGTCAGCATCGACAGGCAGAAGGTGACGATCGACGACAGCAAGAAGCACCAGTAATGGCGCTGTTCGAGGCACACCCGGTCGTCGTCAGTCATCGGGTAGAAGTCGTACGGAGTCGTGCTATTACACCCGCTGTGACCGTAGTGAGCCGTCATCCATGGGCTCCCTGAACCTCCGCCACCGCCGCCCTTGTGGTACTCGCCCATTCACCGTTCGTGGAGCTGAGCCGAAACTGTGGCTGCTGCTGCGACAGCGGCAAAGACTACGATCACGATCATCGCGATGCGACGTTCCTCCGCCCGCCTTCCTTATTCATAATTATTTCGTTCCCGTCTCTGTACATAAAGCCGCTACGAAACACCCGAGCACATGTCACTGTTTCTATTCAACATATCAATGGATATTAACATCGCGCGATGCGGCGACCAATCAGAAAAGCGCCGCTCAGGCGGCCAGCGACTGTGGTTTATCCCTGCCGCTTCTATCTGACAAAATGCGTCGACGATTCGCCGGCGCTCTCGCCTCACTCTCTCCTCCTCCTGCTTCTCCGAGCAACAGGAAAAGACATGACGACAACGGCCACGACTGATCGATTTTCCTCACTATCTTCTCATCGCCCAGTCTCTATGTCTCGGCTTCTCGTCGTCGTCCCGGTGCTCGCCTCGCAGGCTGTCAGCTCTCGTAAAGCCCTACGAACACATAATGCCCTGTTTCCCCTTGTCCCCATGACAACTCGAGGAGTGAATCCTTGATGAAGAGTTAAGTTTTGGCTTCAGGTCATGAACGTCTGCTGGAGATGAACCCGTGACAACCAGAAGATCGAACAAATTTCCTTTGGCCATCAAGTGGATGCGTCGTCGTCGTTCGGTTCAGTACGCTTCAGTTCAGTTGATCAGCAGTGATTTACTCCAATTCATCAATTGCCAAAGCACACATGATTTATCTCCACTCAATTTCCTCAACATCCTCACATCGATCCGTCCATCAATCGATTATGCTCTTGTAGATCGACCGATGGACGGCAGGCCGGCAAGAGTGGACCTATTTTCCAGTTAAAACATGCTCAGCAAAGCGTAAATCAATGAAACGTCGGACAAATTCACTTCTGACCATCATTATTGCTGCCGTAGCGGCTGTGGTCGTCGATCAGTCGAGGAACGTACGACGCCGGCCGCCGTTTCATCGGCTCCCTCATCGGCCTCAAAGAACTTACCGGCGACGACAACGTGTGAGCCATTCGTTAATTACAAAACCAAGTTCCCTTAATTGGCAGGTTGACTGGCGGTTGCTTAGCGCCGCATGTGTCCGTGCTGTGTTTCTTGGCACGCTTGAGGTTCAATTTCTCCTTTTTTATTTCGAGGATCAGATGTTGAGTGACGATCGGTCTCGAGGCCAGGTAGCCTTTTTTCCTTGACAGCAGTTTTCGAGCAGAAACAGGCGTTCCTCACGGTATATTCACGAAGACCTACCAACGGTTTAGCTTTGTGAAGCGTAAATTTGCGGCACTCGACGCCTACTCTTTTGAATCAGGTAAAAGCCAAGTACCGCGTTTTTTCCTTGTATTAAGCAAGAGGTCTGAAGAGGACACGTACTTGTAGCACTGTGGTCAGACAACACCTACACTTACCAACACATGACGTAGTTAACATGTCGAATTTCCCTGGTGAACATGACCTAATGCAGTATGATGTAGTAACAATTTATTGCCCACTCCCACATTCCCAATTCTGGACGACTCTCGACTCCGTTCATTAGTATTTGGCATACTCAAGAATTTATTTCTCCAGTGATGATCTTGAAGTTGCCATTTGGCAAATAAATCTACGCAACTGAAAGAGGTTGAAAAAAACGTTGTGTTCAATTCGCTCATTGGAAAAAAGCATAGAGCAAAACCGAAGAATAACGCATTCGAGA